CTTAATCATTTGCGTCTCTCTTATAATCATCTGTCTCTCTCTCTCTCTCTCTGTTCTTCTCCCTTGCCCCCTCTCTGTCCATCTTTTCAGTCTCTCGTTTTCTGTCTTTATCTCTTGCTTTCTCTCTCTCTCTTTCTCTTTCTCTCTCTCTCTCTAACTCTCTCTCTCATACACACACCACACACACACATACACCCTCTCTTTCGTTCTCTCATGATATCTCTCTTTATCTCTCAAATCTCTTTCCTTCTGCCTCCCCCGTCCCCGTGTCTCTCTCCATCTCTCTCTGTCTCTGTCTGTCTGTCTGTCTGTCTGTCTGTCTGTCTGTCTGTCTGTCTGTCTGTCTGTCTGTCTGTCTGTCTGTCTGTCTGTCTGTCTGTCTGTCTCTCTCTGCCTTCCCATGTTCATGTATCTCTCTGTCATTTCAACTTAGCCATTTTCGACCAGGCCTAGATCTATAGTATATGTGCATTTTACTGCTTGAAAAGCGCAGTTAAAAGTCACCCCGGCCTCTTTTGAAATTACCCAGTCCTTGCCTGCATGGGACAGCCTGCAAAAAAGCCCCCAGATATCTTGCTTTGATCGTCAAACAAATGCTCAGACACGTTTTAATGTTATTAAATCTGATTATATAGCTATATTTTGTTTCATTACGTTCAAGTATTTAGTTACTTGATGTTTATCTTATTAGGTAGTTCGGTTGTACCAGCCACGCACCCGCTTCTGACCGTGCGCGATCGCCGTTGCCCGGGGATCGATACGTATGCATATTATTATTACGCTAGCCTATTACAGTTTAGCCTCTCAATAACGACCTTCGATATAACGACATCCTCTGTAGACATGGAGCCCAGGTCCAGATATTTCCTATACTATATATCGTTAGTAATTTTGGGTTGCCTCTCTATGACGACAACTCTTTATAACGACATTTTCTTCTAGTCCCGACATAGCCCGATGTGCCATTATAGAGAGGCTGCACTGTATAGCGATAGCGGCTTTAGTTCACGTCCAGGTGGGCCTTCTTGTTTGAAAGGCCATTGAAAGGAGAGAGAGCGCTCTAGGCCTATATCTTCACAACAATGGTGTTTATGTTTCGTGACGATCGATTGAGTGTTTCCAGTAGGGCCGAAGTAGCCTAGTCGCACATCGGCGGTCGTCCGCCCCCGGGCTTCCCCGGTTCGCCTCACAGCCACGTGGTGTTCGTTTGGCCAATTGGACAGGAGTACCCTATTTTGAAGGGTCATTTTTGCGTCATATCCGGTCAATCCAATCCATTTTTAAAAGGCGCGGAGTTCCAGAGTTCCAGATCGGAGTCGTAGAGATAGATCAAGATTTATGAATGTTTGAATTGTTTGCGTGACCGTCAGACGTCGGGTTTGTGAGCAGTATCGAGTTGAAGTTCAAGGTACGTTCCTACTTTACATTTTTGCTTTTTCCTTTGATTTGTCGTTTATTTTATTGTGTGCACACTGCACAGAAGTGTGTGAAGTTTCATTGTCATTTTATCAATTTTCGAGAGTGGCGAAGAGTATATTATATTATTACGATATATGGCTATTCAGTAGAAATCTGGATTTTGATTAGATAATAGATCTATATCTAGATCTAGAATCTAGCTAGTCTAGAATCTAGATCTATGGCTAGATTTATGGTCTGAAGAATCATAATAGGCCCTAGATATCTAAATGATAATCTCTAGAGGGATTATATAGCCTACATCTAGTCCCAATTTTTTGGTGCCCTGATCTCCCTTTTGGGTTTTTTTTTCATCTCGTCGGAAATTCCCGTGCTTCAACTTCTTCTCTCTCCAACAGATTATTTCTGTTGCCTAACATTGTTCTCATTGCAGGTCTATCAGTATCAGTAGTATCACAGTGTCTAGGACCTCTCTCTGCTGTGTTTTTTTTAAATCACTATTCGATATATATAGATTCTATAAATTTATTCTAGATCTATATCTTCATCTTTTACTTTGACTTTGACATCAGTCAAAGTGAAGTTAATAAAATTTAGATTATTTTTTAAAGCAAAACTATTTTTTATTCATTCTCTTTCAGATTCTCTATTCATGTTGGCAGATGCACAGTGTACAGAGACAACCTGATCCTCATTGATGTCCAATTCCCCCCCCCCCCCCCCCCATTTTTATGAGCAGTGAAGCAGTCGACTCTATGGTAAGTAGCCTAGCTAGACTAGACTAGGATCTAGAAGTCTAGAATGATCTAGATCTAGATCTAGATTTAGAAATCTTCTAGATATTAAGATACCGTAGGCCTAAGATCACGTGAAGCTATTTGGACTCAAACTCCAATGCTCGTGCGCAATCACTAGATCTAGGTGTACTGGATGTGAAGCAGACAAGCAATTCGACCTTGTCCTTCCTCGATTTCTAGGATGGCGGGCCTGGGAAAGTAAGATGGAGAGGGAAAAAGTAAAAGAAAGAGAGAGAGAAAGGGGAGGAGGGGGCTGTCTTTTTCAGGACTGATTATGAATTTTATGTTTTGATCCCTTTGTAGTCGTGAAACGCAGTGTTAAATAGCCTACCAGTAGTTTAAAAGTCCGAATAGCAACGGGAGACTATTCGGACTCGAGTATAGATCTAGTAGACTTTGCTTACGGTACAAGTAACCGGTGATTGCGCACGCGCACTGGAATTTGAATCCGAATAGCCTCCAACGGCTCACTTCATTTTTTTAATCATCGCTTTCCTGTTTGACTTTGTGCGTCAATTAGTAAAAACAGCTTGATGTTCAGTTCTTTGACCTTGTTGACCTGCAAGAAGTAGGCCTAGAAGTCAGTAAGAAGTGTGTTATATATATTGAGTATTATTTAGTTTTGCATAATGTCTAGATCTAGGTCCTTTCTGCTATCCGTATTATTATTTATTATTCTACACATCATTCATTTTGACTAATAATAATAATAATAATAGATAGCATTTGTATAGCGCATATCCCCACTCAGCAGCAGGCTCTATGCGCTTTACACTATATTATTATTAATATTACCCCAGCAGACCATAGAACACTCCGAAACATTCTCAGCTTCCCGGGAAGCATACAGTGCAAGCAGCCGATTAAGCGCTCAAACACTAACAAACTGACAAGATCTTTCGCTGTCTATAGCCGGGTACCCATTCCCACCTGGGTGAAGTGAGGAAAATTCGCGTAAAGTGCCTTTCCCAAGGACACAACGTCGGGCCCTTGACGGGATTCGAACCCATAACCTTACGGTTGCGAGTCCGAGAGCCTAACCATTAGATCTAATTCTCTTCCAGATTCCTTATTCCTGTGGATACACAGACTGAGACAGCCTGACTGAGGTCCAATTTATTCTTATAATCAGTGAAGCAGTCGACTCTACGGTAAGAACATACACACGTACATATTATACACAGTCGAACCTGGATATTTTGCCAGCCCCACTTACCGCCGGGTTTTGCCAATTTATGACAAGACTATCCTTATTATAAACATAGTATTTGTGGGTGGTTGGCAGGTGCTCTGGTGTGGTTTGCTTCTGAACTTCTTTCCTATCAAACATCTATCATCCTTGATCTCTCCTCCTCCTTTATGATGACCCTATTGTGTTGCAAGTGCCGTAAAACTCTTATTAAAACTAAAAACATAGTATTTAAGCCTTTACACCCCCATCTGCCATCCGCCAACTGTCTCATTTATTAAACGATCCATATTAAACTACTGTAAATTTACCCTGTTGTACCGCCAACAAACTGGCCGCAAAATATTTTCGAAATTTAAAAGGTTTAGTGCAAGTTACGTACAGCACCCTCTATCACCTGAGAGTGAGATGTAATTCTAGACTCAAACTAATTTCTTTTTTAAAAAATCAAACTGCCTAATCTTAAGGCTTACCACGGATGCTGCCCTGATGCCGAAAGGTCTGCAGTTCCGCAAGGCTTTAATTTAATTTTGTGAAGTTATGATGTTGATCTGATTATAGTAGCTGAAGGAGAAATAGATGTTGTTTTTGCGCTCTGTTGAAAATAGGGGACTTCCCCCAACTGATTTTCAATCGAGAAAACAAAATGGCCACCCTAACTTTCGATATTTATCTTTGTCGAGATAACAACAAATAACAAAACAACGACAAATATCAACCCAAACTTCCTAATTTAGTTGCTTTTTTTACTTAATTGACTAAGTATTTTTTCCTGTAGAAAGTGAAATGTAAATGTATGATTTATATCTCTTTAACAGGTGAATCTGTGTCACCCATACTTTGTAACTTTGTTCCGCAATTTGTATCAATTTTGTTTTTAACTTAATATTTATATTTTTCCTCAACATTTGAGGCAAGATTTTTAAAAACTTTGCTTCATAAATTTATATAAAATACTATAGATCTAAACCTGTGCCACTTGGAAGATGGGACTAGTTCACAGCTCTTCCCGCGATCATACACATTTTGTATACGTATAAATATATGGCCAACATCACAGCTTTCCAATGGCAAAACTTTTTATAAGAAATTAATTTTATAGTGAACACATTTTTTGCAGAACAAGTGCAGCAGAATAAGCATATAATGTCACGATTAGAAAAAGATGACAGACTAGCTTTTAAAAGCAATATTGCCCCAGCTATAAACCTTTTAGAATCTGTAAAAACCACCCACTTGATATTTCAATTAGTATATGTGAGGCAGCGTTGTGGAATCAGGCTCTCGTCAAAATAATCAAAGTGAAGAAACTTGCATTTTTTCGCAGGTTTGTGAATTTTAAAAAATTTTTGTTTTTTGGCTCAACACCTTTCATGCCCTTTAAAGAACTCATTTCTGAGTGGATTTTTCTGAAAAGCGTTGATTAAAAGCACAAAGAATGTAAATTTTCAGTTACCACGGACTCTTAAGCTAAGGAAATAACTAATCTTTGGCGGCCATTTTCTCTCTAATTTTACTTCTGAAAACAGGTGACCCCCACCTCCTTCTTTCGCTAATATCTCGACTTGTATTCAAGATAAATGGATATTTTTTTCATCCAAATAAAGACAAGTGAACAAGCTTTAAGATGATACCAATAACTCTACATGCCCAAAAATTGATGAGAGCCTGATTCCACCACGCTGCCTCACATATATTATTTTAGGAATTTTCTAGAATACAAGTAACAGGTGTGTGTACAAAAATATTGATCTGTTAAGAAAAACTATTGATACAAGTCATTGTGCAAAAGTTGGAGAGTCTATGTTTGGTATTAAGGTAAATTTGACAATAAGTTGCACTACGAATGTTTGGCCGTACTATAATAGTACGAGCATTTAATGTTCACATATATTCTATATACTTACTTACCCAGTAATGTATTTCTTCCCGACAGTTTTAACTGAATTTCTTTTCCTGATTTACATTACAGGGTGGATTTTGACAAGATAGACGGGACAAGCATTGGTGGGGATGCTGCCTCTTCGGACACTGCAACACACAAAATGACTACTGGAGTGCAATTTGGAAACCAATTGGTAAGTTCTCTCGTAGTACTTGTAGGTAATTGGATAGAGTTTAGATATTATTTTCCAACCCACTGTGTCATTCAATTTTTGCTGTAAATTAGCTTTTTTTTTTAGCATTTCAAAATATTTGATTTCACCCTATCATGCAAATAATTGTAGATCTCAAAGCGTATTTACAGAGAAGAGGAAGCTGGGATTGACTTTCAAATCTTTATCAGTGGTTTCTAAGACTGAAAAAAAATGTTGGTGTTTTTTACTCACAGCATGTTAGGGAATGAGATACAATCTGTGCTAGATTTCCAGTGTACAGTTTTAGAATATATTGGTATAAAAGTAATTCTTCACATTAATCACGTCATTGTCATTATTTCACAACTTATTTTTACTCAGAACTTTTAGCCCTAAGATGCTTGATAAAGGTTACAGTTGCAGAAAAATTAGTTTTAAATATTTCTATCTAGAAATTGTAATACCCCTCATTGTTTCAGAATTAAAATTTAAATGTTCCATATCATGTGATTTTGATCCACAGAAGCAAAAACTTACAATGGCCAGTGTGCTTCAGAATTTATTTAAACTTTTTTGTTTATGAATTTAATCCACAGATGCAGAAATGTACAGTGGTCTGTGTGCCACAATGATTCATCTTGGAAAAGGGAGGAAGCCAGACCCTCTGGATGTTCCTGCTACCAACAAGATTTTCGTAATGCGTCACTTAGTTGGAGAACAAGGGAAAATGAAAAGGAGTGGTTTCAGAAACTTTTTTCAAAACTCATCTTTGACACCATTTGTGTGGTCAGGAAGTGTGAATGTGGTGCAGAAAACACTGACTCTGGAAAGTGACATTCTGTGTGGATTTTTGCTGAGGCCACTGAAAGTGAACTGTGTCTTTTTTCCTGGATGCTTGTGGCATTGACTGAACAATGAATATTTTTAACCCCTTGTACTTGTTTAATTAAGTTGGAAATGAAAGCTTGACGTACGAAAATGTTATAGATCTCATTCATTATTTGTCCAAAGAGAGGCAGATAGATAATGAGGTTAGTTTTTTGTACCTGTGTGGGTCAAATTAATTTGCAATGTCTGCATCATAGTTGCAAAACTCAGATCTTTTGTTTATTGAATACAACCATAATTTGCTAAAGGACACAAAAAAGAAAAATAGTACAACTCCAACTGTTCAGGAGCTTTTATCAAAGAAAATTTTTATGAACACAAACACAATTGACGAACAGGCCGCTACTTCGAAAACATAGCTACACAACCCCCCTGATATTGTTAACGCAAATATTAAGACATGTCCAAAGCTGGTAATTGAATGCACTGAATGCTGCCCGATAAAATAAAATCTTTAGAAAGTCTCCTGAGTAGGATGGAGCAGGTAAATGCTTTTCTCCAGAATGAAAAAGGAAAAATTGAGCTGCGGATGGTGAAATGAAAATCAGATAGGAGTTATATCAAGCTGTCACAGAAAATGAAAAAAAAAAGCAAATGCAAAGCCAAATGAGAGGACTTCACACACAAAAATGGAAAACAGTCACTTATGCTTGCATTTTGAAAATAAAAAAATAGATTTTTAAAATTTAACAGATTTTTAAAATTTAAATAGGATTTTTTGGATTTAAAAAAATGTTGACACAGGTTGGGATTTTTAGTAGCTAAAAGTATGTTCTTTTAGTGCAATATGCATTGTATTTATTTTAACTGATGATTAATTTAAGCAACTGCAAAAGAAAGCCTTAATCTGTTATACACTATATCAGTGAATTATTCATGGCTACAGACAAAAAATGAAGAAAATGTCAGTGTAGTCTAAAAAAAGGAGGGGATTGTGCATAAATAAACTTGCATTTTATTACAGTGTGTGTTTGTGCGCGCTGGTTTGTCTAAAAAGAAAAAGAAATGCTAATTTCAATTATCAAAAAAAAGTAAATTGAATACTGTGTTGTGTTTCTTTTCAATACCTTCAACCCCAAACAACTCAATGGGTAATTTCAACATGAATCTAAATTGTTGGTTATTGTAATACTGTTAATATTGTATGAAAGTGATCTACTTTCAAAATTCCTTCAGTTGCTATTTTGTTCCCTGCAATATATATCTGAATTATTATTTTTGTTACATTGTTTGTGATTTATTTGTTAATGTTTTTATTCTCCTCAGTCACACTTGATTTGATCTGACATTCAATAAATTATTAAGTTTACAGTTAATAAATCTAGACTTCACTAAAAAATTTTAAAACAGTCCAATGCTTGCAAGCAATGTATCTGTTGGTTTTAAATGTAAACATTGAGCAAACATAAAAAACATGTTCAATGATTTACCATGCAGTTCTATAAACACAATTTTGTCACTTCTGTCCATCTTCCTCCTTTTCTGGGGTTTTCATTTGTGAGATGGAGTTTCACAAGAGAGGGCTAGAGGGGTTTACATTACACAACATAATTGTATATATAGAGTTTCATCTTAATCTTGCATTTTCATAATTTGTAATCATTCCTTCTTCATGCCTGTGTCCGAAATTGTTGATCAACCATAACGAATGTGAATTTGTGCCCTAAAGTGAATTTATTCAAAACTGACATAGAGTCAAATAATCTCAGGGAAAGGGGGGCTGTCCAGTAGTTGACCATTTTTTGTCTCAAGCTCGAATACGCAGCTTGAAATGGCATGTTTCTGGGTAGATTCTTTGGACCCTCTGTCCAACATTGAGTCATCTTGTTTCATCTTAAACCATTCAATTGTATACGGGTTATTTCCTGTTATACTCATGTCTTTAAAACAAACAAACAAAAAAACCCGAAAACCCCCTAAAGGGAAACAGTGACTTTGAATGGGTCCTCCTATTTTTAGACATCCCGTCTACAACACTACATGTATCAGTTTTGGATAAATCATGTACACTGTATTTAATGTAGGCCTACATCTTCGTACACATTTTTTTTATTATGGTTGATTTAAGAGGTGTAAAGTTTAGCTTTTTACCAAGTTTTTATTCTCAACTTTGTTTTTTCTTTTCTTTTCTGCCTTCATACTGACAAATTATTTGACATCCCTTCCGTTAAATTTTATGCAAAGTTTTATATTGAAATTGATGCACAGATGACAAGAGTTTTCCCTGAAAATTTTGACTTAAATAAAATTTGTGCTGCGTTTTTAAATTGAAATTATCCTAAGACAAGATTTTTTTGCCCTTTAAATAAATGGGTCCCTTTCTTTTAGACTGGTGATATGTGAGGTTGCAATATATAGTAATAGAGAGAGAGAATGACAGAAAAAGAGGGAATGTGCACAAAGAGATTATATGAGTGTGGAATGTGTAATTCTGATGACTGTTGTCCTTGGTTGTACCGTACCTCTGTAAACATTAGGTATGTTTATTAACTTTCGGTTTGGTTGTGCACATTGTTGAACGCAAAGAGCATGACTGAGGGGTGCAAGATCCGTTTTATAAATCCTGCCAATGTAGATCTACCTTTCCGTGAACCCCCCCCAACTATACAGTCGACTGCAAATGAGCTGATGTTAGGGGAGGGAAAAATAAACAGATCAACTCATCCAAAGTTCAACTTAACTCTTGGGTATTGTAAAGAAGAGGTGCTAGGACCCCAGAAAAGGTTTAACTCAAGCGGAGTCAACTGTATTAAATCATCTTTCATGATCATAGCTCATCTCATGTTTTTATGTAACTTTTATGCCTTGTTTAAGAGAGACCTGTTTTTGTCAACAAGTTTTTACACAAATGTATACTCGTAAACTTTGTTAATGTTCGTTTTTAATTCAAGGTTGAGGATTGGGAAGGTTGTGACTAAAGGGACGTAAGGACGTAATCCCCATAATTTTTCTTCCAACAACAATAGTATTATCATTATGCTTACAGTTCAGCCTCTTTATTTATAGCGACATCATCGGGAACAGAAAAAATGTTATAGAGAGGCCTCCAAAATTATTAGAAATGATATATTTAATTTATACGTAAGGAAAAAATCGGGACTTCGGCACCATGTCGCCACATAACCTGGTAGAGGATGTCGAAAGGTATCGAAGGTCGTATAGAGAGGCTGCACTCTGCTTTATTTTTTAAATGTTTTTTAGATGGACTACATACTACATGAAAAAAATAATGTGTGTCTCATTATAAATATATATGCTGAGGCAAACATTTGTACCAATTATTTGTATTATAATAATAATAAACAGTAATTTACAATGCAGAGTTCTATACAGTTTTTTGTCACTTGTGTTTGTCTTCCTCCTTTTCTGTTTTTTCTTCCTATTTTTAAATCTGTTTCTCTTCACATAACTTTTGCTTCTGTTTCATCTATTATTATTATCATAGATGCTCTGTCAATTTCTGATTAATTTTAGGATTGAACTACAGGACCTGAATGGACAATGGCTCCATTGTGGCGCCGACGAAAATGAGACCATGTGTGGAGGTCAAATAGGAATTGGGGAGGGGGGGGTTACAGCGATAAAAATCTGCCATCGGCACGACATCGGGTTGACATCGGCAAGAAAACTCCGACCTAGGACCGATATCGGTTTGACATCGGCATACGACGGCCATAAAAAATCCGACATCGGCTCGACATCGGGTTGAGATCGGCAAGAAAACTCCGACCTAGGACCGATATCGGTTTGACATCGGCATACGACGGCCATAAAAAATCCGACATCGGCTCGACATCGGGTTGAGATCGGCAAGAAAACTCCGACCTAGGACCGATATCGGTTTGACATCGGCATACGACGGCCATAAAAAATCCGACATCGGCTCGACATCGGCATAGATGGATAGGTCGGCAGCCGCCCTGGGGCCGACATCACTCCCGACGGCGGGGCCGACGTAGG